ACAATATTACATCTGTTTTTCTTTTCCAAAGCAAAGTGAATATGAAAAGATAGTGTATCTGCGCATTTCCTTAAAGACTTTGAAGGGGAACTGCGGTAGGCTATTGGCCTGGGTATAGCGTACAATCTCTGAGGGGCACTTATCCTCAGAGGAGCCACACTTATCTTCTCTTAAATTGACTGAGATATCAGGAGGTCATCCTGAGTTGCAGCTAATGAATTAAAAGAATAAAATGTTTGACCTTTCAAAATGTTGAGAATGATGAGTAATCCATAGCCTGGGAAGAGACACTGAACTCATGTGATGTTACCTAGGCTGTTATGGTAATTTGTGGCAGAGTGCAAGATCTTTCAGCTGGTTATCCTATATTTCTGGAAAATCCCCATTGCCCCATGGTACTGTTTGAGTGTTTGGGATCAAACTCCTTCTTGACTAATTGTATTTTGTAGTTTTCAGTTTACCTACGTGAAAGATCCCTCTTCAGTTTTCTTCTATCTAAATTAGATAAGGTACTTATCTTCATTTCCTGTCCTAAAATCTTGTGTGGTGTTAGGCAGTGTCATTGAACACCTCCCATATTCCACTCCAGAGGTGATTACATAAATTAGTTTGTGAAGCATTTTGAGAAGCTTTGTGGTGAACAGTCTTCTATTAAATGTATGAGACCATTTCTGAGAAGGCTTCATGTGGAGTACAATTGTTTACTTTTTGTGAGGTACAAAGTTCACATTCTTGCCTCAAAGACGCAGCAGAAGTGGGAGTAAAGGAAGCGAATGCTGCATTTCAGCGCTTTCACTAGCCATGGAATTGACCTAATATAACACTTATTCACTAAATAAATGAGCAGATTCTCCAAACCTTAGGAAATCATCATATCCAGAAGTAATTCCATTCTTGTATTTGACTTAGCACGTGTACATGTTTCATAAGCCTGCCCATGAGTGAGCAGATATGTAACATTTGTTTTCAAATAAGTTGCATCACAAGCAATGAAGGCCTGTTTAACTTTTTTTTTTATTGAATAGGGCTACTGATGTTTCACTAAGTCTGTTCGCATCTCTATCTTCAATTATACAAATAAAGGAATCAGAATATTTACAATTCTCAATGTCCCACTAACTTTATGCCATTTGTGTGGATTGCCACTGAATAATTTGATTTGATTTCCATTTCTCTGTGTACTTTTAATCAGTAGCATTTTTACAGTTGTGGAAAATGATAAAAGAAATGCCCACAAAGTGTGTTTTCGGGCTTCGTGTTCAATTAATTAAAAAAAAAAAACTTTGGTAGATCTTAATTTGTTGCTGGGCACCTGGATTCCATTGTTATTCAGGATGATTACTACTTAGAGCCTTGTTAAATTTGAATTACTTTATCTAGATCTCCAGGGATTTTCATTTTCTTTTGCACTGTGTATGACAGCGGTGTGGTTTAGGCCTCCAATGATTGTTTCTGACACATGAGTTTTTGGATCTCTAAAACAGATTGCTATTCTCTAGGGGTTAAGAGTGATGACAGTTTAAATATTCATTTTGTATTGGATAAGCACAGTATGGTAGTAAATCTCTTTATCATAGAATTACCTTTTAGAAACAATAGCACAACTGCTCTGTTGTAGATAAGGTAACACAAATAATCCTATTTAATTTAAAGGTACTATTTAGGGTGAATTGTAATATTTTTGTAACATTATATGTTTGGGGACTTTTATGCTGATTTTGATTTTAGGCAGAAGCAGTACTTTTGCCTCAAAAGATGAGGTAGATTTTGACCACCAAAGAGGATTTTCTCCCCCTTTTATAGAACTTAGAGATACAAGTGGTCTGAAAGAAATGTCAAGTCTGGCATTGCCCAAGAGTTGAGTTCTGTTGGTTCATTGCAGAGTTGTTGTTATCGTGTTCGTCCCAGGGTATTAGAGAGACAAGGCGTGGGTGAGGTAAGATCTTTTATTGGCTCAACTTCTGTTGGTGAAAGAGACAAGCTTTTGAGCTGCACAGAGCTGAAGAAGAGCTCTGTGGAGGTCAAAACTTCTCTCTCTCTCTCTCTCACCAATAACAGTTGATCCAATAAAGGATCTTACCTCACCCCCACCTTGTCTCTCTATTGGTTCATGACATTTTAAAGCTAGGGCAGTTTGTTTGAACCCATTTGTTACAGAGCCTAGTGATCATCTTTTCCTGGCTCCCACTAGGACTGCTGTGAAGGGAATCCAAGCCTCTGTGTTCTGGATCCCCTGGGGTATGTTGAGCTTCTGGAGCTGAAAAGAGTTCAGCTACTGCCCCAAACTAAGGACCCTATGGTATACTCTCAGGGCAAAGACTTTCTAACTGGCACTGCCCTCCTAGTGTTGGAACCTGTTGTCCAGCCTCCTAGATGCCCTGGGTGCAGCACTGACCCTTCAGATATCCCAGGACTTGAAATGCCCATCTCCCAGAACTCCACTCCAAAGGTGTGAAGCTTCTGGTTTACAGTTTAACTCTCTCAGGAGCGTGTGGTTCTTGTGAAGCACAAACACGTATACATTTTGTATAATCTTTCAACTTTATGCTCTTTTTAAAATTTAATCATGTAAAGCACCAGAGAGTATATATCACACAAAACACTACAAAATCCTAAACGTGACGTCCCTCACTAGCTCACCCTTCCCTTGGGAGTTCTTGGGGAATCATCTGTGTTCCATGGCAGGGTCCTCCACCCCTCTTGTCTATTCTGCCCCTGCAGCAACCTCCCTCATATTAATCAGCTGCAAAATGGCTCTCTCCTACCCATGTGAATCCCTTTTTAGCCTATTGCTTGGGGTCACCTTATTTTCTGTCTTTTTGGTAATTTTCCATTACTTTCAAACTCCCCTCCCTGCACACACAAGGTACAAGTGTCTTCTCCCAACTAGAGCAAACCTATTGTCACAAAGTGTTTTACTTCAAATAGACTGTTGTTGAGTACTGATCCCTTACCATTGTTTCTGGCCTGGTAGAGACATGATGCCACGCTGCTAATTTAGGGTGGATCCACATACACATAGGCTTTCCATGACACAATAATTTCATAGACTCCTCCACAATTCAGAGGTGGTATAGACCGAGTCCTCAGGGTGTCACATTAAAGCTAGTGCAGTTTGTTTGAATGCATTCATAGAATCATAGAATATCAGGGTTGGAAGTGACCTCAGGAGGTCATCTAGTCCAACCCCCTGCTCAAAGCAGGACCAATCCCCAATTTTTGTCCCAGATCCCTAAATGGCCCCCTCAAGGATTGAACTCACAACCCTGGGTTTAGCGGACCAATGCTCAAACCACTGAGCTATGCCTCCCTCATCATATGGCCTCACCATGAGAGCCAGCCTACTTTAAGATTTTACCTTGTCAATTCCCAGGTTCTATCACAGTCATCATTCTACTGGCAGTATAATGATGACTGCATCTGTAATTTTCACTCCATGCATCTGAAGAAGTGGCTTTTTTACCCACGAAAGCTTATGCCCAAATAAATCCCTTAGTCTTTAAGGTGCCACTGGAATCCTTGCTAGTCTAGTGGCAGACACTCCCTTATACACAAACACATTGCCAAAACTCATCTATATCATCCTCACCTAAAGCAATTTTGTATTCAACAACAAACACTTTGTCCAAACCATGGGAACTGCCCAAGGTACTAGGATGGATCCCCAATATGTTGTCTACTTCATGGGCCACCTCGAGGAAGAATTTCTGGGAAAGTGTACCACAAAACCAATGATATACCTGAGATACATCTATGACATTTTCATCCTCTGGACAGATGACCTAAATTCCATGATAGATTTCCACAACTTCGGCCACTACCACCCACCCATCCATCATATTCATTCACTCCCACACCAGCATCAGCTTCTTGGACACCACGATCCGCTTCAACAATGAAACCCTGCAGACAACTATAAACAAGAAACCCACAGATCCAGCAACCTCCACTTATATAGATATTTTGCAGCACTGTGCAGTTAGGGTCATATCCCTGGCTTCTATTTTTAGATTGAAGCTTCTTTGTCCCTTGTTGACTTCCTGATTTACATAGGATTTCAAGCCTTTGAGGAGCTAATTACAGACTTGTCCCCCAAGCCCAAGGTAGAGTAAGCATTTTGTGTACTGCAGCTTGCAGCCACTGAAGGGTGGACTCAGAAAACTGGAGGAAGACATCATCACCCACAAGAGTCTTCTTTCTGCCACTTCCTTTCCTGTTCTACCAGCAGGAAACAAGTGAAGGCAGCTCATATGTGAAGGAGGGCTTGAGATAATGCATGATGAGGGGGTAGAGGACTGGGAGAAGGAGAATATATTTTGGAAGTAGGAGGAGACCGTAAGAGGCTAGAGGAGGGGGAGGAAATGATGTGTAGAAAGAAGTAAGACAAGGAAAGAGAAGACCAAGAGAAAAGAAAATTTGAAAGAGAGAGAAAATGGGACCTTAAAATGGAGTGAGGAGGAGGGGAGCTGAACATAGAAACAGAAAGAGAAGTGCAAGAAATAAGGGTAGGATTTTGATCCAGGGAAATATAATTTAATAAATAAGATATAAAGCTCACCTGCTGGAACATGCTATAAAACAGCATATGTAACAGTATATTTACAAAGAGGTAAATACAACCCCCTCCCCTTCCTCATTAACCCTTGCTGTTCAAATAATAAGTGTTCCAACTGTTTCCCCACAAAAATCTGGTCACTCCCTGGGTAGCAGACCATTGGAAGTCAGAGGGTAGCAGGAAGGATGGTCTCTGACACCTATAAACCCACCACTTACTTTGAGCACCAGTTGTTCATTTATTCAGAAACATTTGATCAGGAACAAAATTGCTCTCCAGGAAGATTTTATTGTAGCATTTGCATTGGAAGCAGAATGTTTCTAAGGATCATATCCTAGCAAGTTTTGTTGGCTATAAATTAATATAAGCTAATGCATTTTTACTACAGTATTTGTATCTATGCCATTATGTCTTACCCTAAAGTAATCTGTTGTTTCAATTTCAGCATGCGAGACACAAGCGGGGAAAGTTTATCAGGTATCACTAGAAGAGCACATCCAGCCTTTCAAAGACAGCATGGAGCAATTCATTAATCAAGGTAAATAATGAAACGTCATTGAACCTTTTCAAGACATTTCAAAGGAAAGTTATAGGAACAATGTTTATACATTGGGAGTAAAGAGACAGTTTGTTTTGGCATCATAGAAAGATGTGGGTTAGTTTAATCAAATGCCACACAGTTCTAAAAGATTTGTGGGACAACTCTGTTGTACTGTCAATGAGTCACCCTCTTGAATGGCAGCAAAGACAGATGCTATTGGCTCAAGTGTGTGAACTCATCATGAGTTCGCAACTCTAGTAATATTTTTGTTTCTTGAAAAAATTTTTAAAGCTGGACTCATTTCCAAAGCAGTGACTGTTGTGCATGTGCCAAAAATACAGTGTCTGCAGTGCAGAGGTCTTGTTTCAGCTCCTCAGATTGCAAAACTTGTGTCTAATTTTTTAAGCAAACACAAAAGGCAAATCCAAATGAACTTCTCAGGACAGGCTTGTGGAAAATGCTGTGGGGGGCTGGGGATGTGTGTGGTAAATTTAAATGTATCTATGCTGATCTTGTCTCAACGCTAGGAGGGAAGCACCATAATAGGGGATGGGTGGTGCTGTTCCCATGCTCCACTGTCAGGATTCTGCAGTAGGTGAGGAAAGCGGCACTGTCAATGAAGGAATGTTCTGAGTCAGAATGTTCTGTGTTGACTTGGCCATGCTGTTTTTCTGGCCAGTAGTCTACTTATTTGGCTATTCCTGTCCACACCCCAGCTTTCTGTAACCATACAACATAATAGAAGACAAAAATATTGACTCATGATTGGATAAACAATTGTGTGAGAAGTGAGAGTATCTACTGTTTATCCCTTTTAGAGGCCAATAGCGCTGAAGTCTAGAACTGTGTTAACTAATCATCACAAATGGAAATTATCATTGATGTATTGTATTAGAGTTCAATGCCCATTATTTATTTATTTCTGGTGAGCTAGTCAGGTATTAAATTCACATTTTTGCTTCCTAACTGGAACATCAAAGGTAAATAGCATTTTCAAGGTAGTCTTATGGTGATGTTCAGCATGTGTGCACCAATTCCTTCACGTGACTTCACATGTCATTGAACAGACTTATTTAGATTGAGGGCCATAGCCAAAATACCACGTGACAAGCAAATACAAATCAACAGATCCTGAAATTACAAAGATCAGTCCCCAAATCCTTGCCAAACAGGTCTTTAGCTGTGTCCTGAAACAATTGGTAAGATGTGCTTTGGAATCAAAGAGGCCTACATTTCTATACTTGATGCCACAATGATGGTGTTTAGCTGGTAATTGTTTTTGGCATCTAGCTTAATGTAGATGCAAATAAGGTTGTGCATGTAGAAGAAGGAACAACAAATTAAAGGACATTTGTCAATATGAAGTAGAGATTCTTTCCATCAGATGTTGTGTTGGGAGCTATAATTTAAGGTCTAATAACGGTGTTATGCATTCCTCTTCAAACTAGAACAATGAATTGAACATGAGGTTTATTATACTAATATAATACTAATATAAATCAGAAGAAACTCCAATGATGTTTCTTCATCCCTTTAGGAAAGGACAATGAAAACATTATTAATGGTTATAAAAGTTGCCTGGCTCCCTATTTAAATTTCTCCACAGTTTTTGAGACTGTTTTCCTGCAACAGTGAATTCCACAGAATGATTATGTGGAGGAGAAATAATATTCTCTTTTCTTTGTTATATGCTTATCAGGTTTTTTTTTCCTCAAAGTGATCCCGCTCCCTGTTCTTGTGTTCATTTTGGGATAGAGAGAAAAGAAGATATTGATAAATCTGATCATAGATATCTAGTCTCCTATCAGAATGTACAGATGTTACTCCTTTTTGGAGTTAGTGGGAGTTTTGTGTGATCACTGATGGAAAAAGAAACCCCATAACCTCAGAACAGCAGCAAAGTTAAAAATATCATTTGCATGTTCTAATGGAAATTAATACAAGTAGGGGTTATGATATGAACATAGATGAGCTCTAAATAAACTAGTCTACATTTCTTTAAACCTCGCAAAGGCTACTTTTCAGAAATCTGTCACGATATTACTCTATGAAAGATAGCTTAACATATAGGAGAAAAGAATCCTTTAGTTAAGTTCCAAAAATAAAGTAATTTTAAAATACCTTCCATTATGAAATCCTTTGTTTTTACTTGGTGGGATTGAATTCAGACTTGAAAGAGGCCATGTTTAAAACAGGATTTCTCTTTCCTGTTCAGTGTTTGACAGGCTTTTGATCTAGATATTTTTTCTAAGGGCTTTTGTTGTTTATGTAGGCATAATCGATGAGTCTTTTCAGCTAGACTGCACACACAAGATCATTTAGAAAAACAGAGGGACAACTTTTGGCACCTTTGGGGGATTTATGTATTTATATAATGTGTGTTCTGGGCAAAGTAAAATAAAGTTTAAGTTCTTTTATATTTAAAGTTCAGTTTCTCCAAAGCAAAAAAAAGTTTTAAACTTACAGTTAAATTCATAATTTTTCACAGGGTTAAATAACTTGGAATGTTTTTTTGTGATGCTTTTCAGAGCAGGTAACTTTTCTGTATAATGGGATTCACCAGTTCAAAGTAACTTCAGACATTTACAGTATATTCCATTGATACTTATTGCTAGCATTGGCCAGGCAGAAAGTTGAAGTTAGAAACTATCTTCCAGTAGGTATGGAGAGCGGGGCACATGTGGTTAAACATCTCTGGTAAGGCGATAGAGAAGAACTTTATAGGAGCAGCTACAGGTTTAGCACAGTTGTATTAGTTTAATTTTTAATTAAAATATTGCAACTGGTCAGGTTGAATTTTATATGTAAAAAGAAAAAAATAGTGAGTAAACTTGTAAAGTAAAATCAGAAAAGATTGGGGCTCAGAATCCTGTCAGGCTTACTTTTTAATGGATCATTACACCCACCTTAGGAGGAAGAATCAATTCATATGCATGTCAGCTAATATGTTATCAATGGACCTGGAAATGATGCACTTGATTACAGTTTCCTAATACTTTTGTTATAATCACCTTGAAAGCTATATGGTTAATTCACCAGCCCATGCACAAAGAACCCTCTCCAGCCACAGGATTCCAGTTCCTTTTCTGCGGTGCTTTGTTTTATTTCTTCAAAATAACATTATTTAATACAAGTTCAACATGTCGTGTCCTGTCCCCTCTAATCTGGAGTCTTCTGCAAGAGCCTATCTACTCCCTGCAGGATTATGCTCCACAGATTACTTGATGAGGAGTCAAGATGAGCCTACAAGGCTTCTCTCTCCTTCCTAACCTACTCCCTGCAGAATTACACTCTGCAGGCCATCTGCCTCAGAGTCATAACTGGGTTCTTTCCCCTCCCAAACATCTCCTGCAGGACGTTACTCTTTACAGCTCCCTCTTCAGTAGGACCAGGTGATCTTCAAGCTATAGCCCAATCCCTGGCCTCAAAGTATCTGCTGAGGCAGCTGATTATTCACAGGTAGGGTTAGGTCTAACACCACTTAAAGAATCAGTCAACCTGTGAGGCATCTGTTTTAAGTTGCATATTGCTTTGCTAAACTTGAACCATTTGTGCTGAAATTGTCTCTTCCAGAGGGTTTTTCCCCCGAAAAGGTTTCAGCAAAAGCAAATTAGCTGCTTCCAAGGAAGAGATTATGGAATAATTAGTATAAAATATACAATAAAAATAGTTTGTTAGTCATTTTCCAAAAGTTACATTTTTTGAAGGTTTCTTTAAAGAGCTCTAGCACTTGCATGATTTGGAACAGGAATATGAAATTTGGCAGGTGGGTGATCCTGGTATTAGACAGGTACCTTTTGCTGTCCCCATTAAAAAGTATCCAGATTTAGCCAAATTGTAAGTGTCTGAAAATTGCCATTTGCACATGCTTGGTAAAGACTTTTATGGTATGTTTACATGGCAGAGTTAATTCAAGTTTTCTATATGTGAGCTACTTCTTTCAAGTTATCCTAACTTGAGAGAGTGAGTATCCATGCTGCAGAACAGTCAAACTGCTGTTTTCATACTGGCATTGTGCTCACTCGTGTGACACTAAGGTTTCTGTGGGCATATCTGATGGTTCTTTGCACTGAAGTAAGCGCTATGAATTCTTTCCCAGTGGGAGAGTTTATCTGTCTTTTCTGGGCACACAGGTGGAATTGTGAAAAGACAATGTAGTACTAATGGAGCTAGCCTATATCCACATTGCAGAGTGGTCATTTTAGCAGCTGATGAGTTGTGTTCACTCAAGCTTTAGCTTATGCCCCCTAACGGCACAGTCAACTTGAGTTAAGGGTTTTTGTTAGTAGATGGAACTTGAGTTAGGTGCAACAGTCAAGTTGTAATACGAGTTAACTTTGCAGTCAAGAGAAGCTTTTAGAGGCTTGCTGCTACAGTTGCTGAACATTCCATCTGCACTGAGCATGCTTCCTGGCCCCACAGACTCCATGAAGGATGTGGCACCAGCAACTGCCACTTTGGGAAGTAGTGCTGCATTGGGACCCAGAAAGAGACCATGCATTCTAATCTCAGATCCCTCATGTACTGGTATGCAAATTTATGTGCCCATCACTGCACTTATTATTGAGGAAGGCCCCATATTCCTGCCTTAGAAGGCAGGTGAATATCATACCACTGATTTTACAGCGTGGTTACCCAAGGTCATTTCAGGTATAACTGGCAATATCACCCTATCTCTAATGTTGCAGACTCAATCCACAGTCTCATTGCCTTGAATGATAAAATATGCCAAATGTATATGCTTGGTTATGCTATCTATAACCACTTCCTTCCAGTGCCAGGAATAGAAATCAGGAATCCTGATTCCCAATGTTCCACTGCTATCTAGAAAACAGTTGTGTAAGCCATTAGCAAAGTGTGTCACATTTACCTCTCTAGTGGCTGGTATACTTAGAAGATAATAGCCTGCTACTACTGTCAATTACTCTAACAGGTCAAGCAGTAGACATCTGTGCTGTGGATCTAAAGCCTTTGGGTTTAAATCCTGCTGATGACCC